TCGCCCCGGCGGACACGGCACGTGCACCCGCTTTCACCCAGCTCTCCCCAGGCAAGAGCCTGAGCCCCCCTCGGGCGCCTGTCTCGGCAGGAATCACAGCCCCGTGTTGAACGACAGCCTCTCCCTCCTCAAAGTGCTGCTTATATTTAGCCACCGTCTGCCTTTGTCCTCAGGCAACTCAGCAGTGAGGGAGGGAGGCAGGCATCGCCCATGTCACCACGGGAAACCGAGTCCCGTGGCGGGAGGGGGGCCCGGGGTCCCATTGAGCCCCGGGAAGATGGTGCTGGGGGCTTGGGGCTGGAGGAATTGGGGAACCCCTCCCACAGCGGGGCCTGCAGCTGGAGCTATGCCCACCCCAGGTCGCAGGAGCAAGGGGAGGGCCCCTCCCCCTGGTCTGACCAGCAGGAGCCCTGTCTGCGGCGCCCAAGCCCACCTTCCCAGGCCCCCGCCCTCTGTCCCGCCTCCCTGCCAGCCCCTCTGTCCCTGGTCAGCACGTGAGGGCGCCGGCGGCCACACTGCCCAGCATCCCAGGGAACCAAGACCCCTGCATCCCGCTAAGCAGTGGCTCAGCCAGACTGGGACCTGCCCGTGCACATGAGCCCTCCCCGGCCTCCCCGGCACCCGAGCGCAGACAGACGGGAGCCGGCTCCTTACTCTCCGGGCGTCCCAGCCCGGCCTCGGGACAGCCCCCAGGTAGCCACTTCTGAATCCCTCGCCCATGGAAACCGTGAGGTAGTGAGTGTCTGGTGTTGCTTTTAGACGCTACGTCTTAAGCTAATTATTGCCCAGCAACGAATAACTCAGACACCTGCCCGACACGCAGCGGTGGCTCCGCGCTGTCACTCAAGGCGCATCACCTGTTGTCCCGATCGAGTCCCCCTCCAGCTCCTGCCCAGGGTGCTGAGCTCTGGGAACGCCCCACTCCCCAGCCCGGCGGGTCTCCATGAGGCTCCCTGACTGGGCTCCCCACCAGGAGCCTCCTCCCTCCCCAGGGCTCCCAGCACACGCCCACCACAGCCCCCATTCTCTGCTCACTGACTGCCCAAGTGAATGGCCAGTCGTGACCTTCGGGAAGTCGGTGAGTGCGTAACGGGAGCTACAGGTTGGCTGTGAGTCCAGGAAGAGGGCCCGTCTGCCATGTTCCCTGCGGAGACACCTGGGCCTGACACAGAGGAGGATGGATGGACGGACGGATGGATGGGTGGGTGATGGATAAATGGATAGATGGGTGACGGATAGTTGGGTGGATGATGGATGGATGGAAGGATAGATAAATGATGGATGATAAATGGATGGATGATGGATGGAAGTATGGATGGATGATAAATGATAAATGATGGGTGATGGATAAATGGATGGATGGATGAATGATGGGTGGATGGATGAATGGATGATGGATGTATGAATGGATGCTGGATGGGTGGATGAATGGGTAATAAATGTATGGATGATGGATGGATGGACAGATGGATGGAAGGATGGATGGATGATGGATGGATGGATGGGTGATGGATGGGTGGATAGATGATGGATGATAAATGTATGGATGATGGATGATAAATGGATGATGGATAGATGGATAGATGATGGATGGATGGATGATGGATGATAAATGAGTGGATGATAGAGGGATGGATGGATGATGGTTGGGTGATGGATGGATGATGGATGGATGATGGATAGTGGATGGGTGGATAGATGGGTAACGGAAGGATGGGTGATAGAGGGCTAGATGGGTGGTGGCTGGATGATGGATAGAAAGACGGGTGTGTGGGTGACGGAGGGATGACGGTTGGGGCTGGGGCACCTACCACAGGTGGCATCACTTGGGGACAGAGGTGGCGATGACGAGGATGACCACCAGCATGGCAGTGACTCCAGCCGACAGGAAGTAGCACTTCATCTTGTGTCTCTGGAGCTGGGAGAGAGAAAGAGGTTGCTGTGTCTTGGCCCCCAGCCTCCCATCCGGGGTGGGGGGCACAAGGCTCATGCCTGCTGGGGACGGTGGCGTGCAGAGGGCCGGGCCCACCCTGGGGCAGAGCCGAGGCAGAAGCTGTCCCTCGGGAGGGGTCTGCCCTGAGCTGGCACCCAAGCTCATCAAGAGCGGCTGTGGGCGGGGCCTGGAGTC